CACACACACACACACACACACACACACACACACACACACACACACATATATATATGCATATATATTTGGAATACATATTAGTAATGTGCATACATTACTAATATACAGAAAATGTTGTTTTTACAAGCATCCTTAGATACGAAAGATACAAATCTGTAAACTAATGAAAGAAAAATATAAATGCCATACCCGCTCTTGGCAGAGTGTGTACAACCATTGTTGCAGAGGCAGGTGAGAGCGTCACAGCGTTTGTAAACCTCCAACAGTTCTGCATATGCATTTGCCTCCAACTCCCACGAGGCATCTCTGCAGGAAGCCCAGACAAAGGGTTCAGGTGGGGGGGGGGGACAAAAAACAAAAACAAACCAAAGCAAATAACAGTTTTTCCTGGACAAACAAGTGCTGAAACGCTGCAGATATAATTTAAGGTTACCTCTCTGGGATGTATATTCCCATTCTGAGCATTTCCTCCTGGAAGTTTTCCTTGTTGTTACACAGGGTACATCTAAAGAAGAACAGGCCTGCACTGTGGGCCTGACGCTAACACACAGACACACGCCAATAAAAATACACAGAAATACAAAAAGTTACACATGCATTGTACTTTTTATATACAGTGGTCCCTTGCTATAACGCGGTTCACCTTTCGGGGCCTTGCTGTTTCGCAGATTTTTTTTGAGCAATTTTCCATACAGCGCATTGTGTTCTGCATCCTGATTGGCTGTAGAACATTGTCAATCAATCTTGTGCAGTGTCTCCTGTACAGTACAGAATGCATTCAGCTTGTCAAATTTACACGTCGGCGAAACATTTTACACTGTCCAAGGCAGCCGCGGGTGCCTTTGGTTTCATTCTATAATACTGGACTTATTTTTCTACGAAGGTTTGAACTTTGAGAGTGTTTAAACAAAAGATACAAGTATGAAAATGTTCATGCCTGTCTGAGAAAAATGTATAAAGCGTGTAGTGAGGAATTTTACAGCCTTAAAACATCTATAATAATTGTAAAAAATTAAGTTTGCTACTTCGTGGATTTCACCTAGCGCGGGTTATTTTTGGAATGTAACTCCCACAATAAACAAGGGACCACTGTAATATGGAGTGTAAAAAATGAATTTAATCTTCTCAAACTGAATGGACACAGTCTGGTGGTAGAACTGCAGATAATCAATTCAGCAGAGTCCAGGAAATGCAGGACAGCCATATAAACCATTAAAAAAAATGCAGGACCACATATTCAGGGAATATTTCAAAACATTCAGCTCCCATGAAAGTCGAGCTGCATTTCCTGTAAACCTTTCTAAATAGTACTAAATAGCCAACCCAACATATAAAATCAGGGCTCTCTGCACACTCATGGTACCTGCACACAGTCTCTGTGGAACCAGCTGGTATGGCAGGATGGACACTTGAGGATGGAGTAAGACAAAACGGGATCAATAGAGTCCAGACAGATGGAGCAGGATCGAGGCAGACTGATGTCTAACCCAGTACACAGAGACTGGGAGGGACTATGATCTGGACAGTAAGATCTGGACACACAGACAGAGGGGCAGTTACTATCTTTTATATTTACAGTATTATAGTTTAGCAGTTTTATGCAGCTGCAGCTTGGAAGAGTTTTGCAATTTCTCTGCAATTTGGTGCATATACTTTTTAAAAGGAACCAACACTATTGAAGCTGAACTTTGACAGCATTTTACAGCAGTTTATATACTCAGTGATTGGTTTTAAGTTTTAAATTCTATGATAGTTTGGACATTTTTGTAATTCAGTTTTCAGTAGAATTAGATTCTTTTTGTGGCAGAAACAGTTTTTTATGGGTTCACAAAGAAGAGGTACATCTACTTCTTAAATTTTTCTTTACAGATACATCACTCCCAAAGTACTTGGTGATAAATGAATAACAGTTTCACCTGCCTCTGACAGACTCCACTCTTAAATCACATCTGTGGATCTGCTGCAGCAACAGAGTAAGGATTACCACTTCTAGATGCAGACTGAGATGGTGTAGCTGGAGTAGGTCTAACCATAGAACTGATGAGGCAACAAAGTAATAGGCCAAGAAAATAAATGGTGTGTTCTCCAAGGAAAGATCCACGATGTACTATCAGCTTCAAAGAAATAATAGCACAGGAGGAGACCCACCGAGAGCTGAAACTAAGCAATACTGGAAGAACATTTTGGAGAAAGAGCCAAGTGCCTGGTGGAACTCAGAGCAGACCATAGCTTTCTAGAACAAGAGCCAGTCAACAGCCAGTCAAAGACAGACATCCAACAATGAGTCTCTGGAATGAAGAGCTGTACACCATGAAGACCTGACACGAGCCATGCCTACTGGCTGAAGAAGCTAAATGCACTCCATGACCACCTTGCAACAAAAATAAATGGGCTGCTAACAGCAAATACTCATTCATCCAGCCTCTCCACATCATGACAAGATGAGTAGGCACTGGAAATAACACCAGAAGACATTCCCAGTGTGGTCAAATGGTTTCATAGAGGCGAGGTGATTCGAACTAAAGGGATGGAGCCACCAGAAGTCAGACTAAAAGATATACTGGACAACCAAAGTACCTAGGTGTCCCACAGGGTAAAGGAAAAATGATAAAGATGCCTGAATGTCAACAAGTCAAATACCTTCAGAAGGTAAGACAGGTGCTCCATCATTGAGGCTCTGTGAGCAATGGAAAGAGGAAGGGCAGAGATTAGTGAGTGTCAGACCCACAATCTAAGAAGATGACCCCCGAAGATGAGCTGAGATCAGTAATCAGGAGCATTAAATGGCCTAAATGACCTGTATTTATATAGCGCTTTACTAGTCCCTATGGACCCCAAAGCGCTTTACATTTCCAGTCATCCACCCATTCACACACACATTCACACACTAGTGATGGCAGCTACAGTGTAGCCACAGCCACCCTGGGGCGCACTGACAGAGGCGAGGCTGCCGGACACTGGCGCCACCGGGCCCTCTGAGCACCACCATTAGCAGCTATAACCCCAAAACTGGAAGAGTGGCTCCTGCAGATTCCCAGCACAACATCAGATGATTCTGTCCAGAAGAGAGCAGTCCTACAAAAAGCTAAGTTACTGCCCAGAACCCTATATGTAAACTTAGCACACAAAGTAACTTGTTTTTGGTCAATTGTTTCTTTGCTGTAACAATGTTTGTTGGCAATAAATTTTATACCACTGGAAAGTCTGTTTATTTTCTCTTAAATGTTGCCACATTTGTAAGCAAAATGCATTTGTGGATTAAGCAGTAGAGATGAGAATGTGGGTTGCATCCATGACAAATCTTAGTATGTTGCCCTAGTATGTTTGTCATACTAGGGCGACATAGAAAGAAACTAACACCCATGCATGTAAAGCCTATGTGTGGCAAACACTGAAAAATCAGCTTGTGTATATCTTTTATGACTACCGTTTGGCCACAGCAGGAGTATTTCATGTTAGCAAACAGTGCGTTATGCCTTTAACCAGCCTACACATACAATTAAAGAATTTAATGTGTTGTCAGCACTCACGGGAAGAGTCCAGTGAACTGGGAGACAAACATTTGCTTCCTCCCACAGGGGAAGTGAACCATCTTCCTACAGCTCCTGACATTACAGCCGACACATGCTCCCTTCTTCTTACAGCCAAAACATGTCTGAGACACATATACAGCACACAAGGAAACAGTAAATACAAACAGGCCCGCACACTTCAATCACAAATCACACCTAGAGGATTTGCTGTTGACCAAATGTAGAAGGGTGTTGGGATCTTATTTGTTGTATTTGCTCTACAGTATCTCACAAAAGTGAGCACACCCCTCACTTTTTAAGAAATATTTTATTATAATTTTTCAAGGGACAACACTGAAGATATGGCACTTTGATATAATATAACAGTATAAATTTGATGTCTAAACTGCTGGCAACAAGGGCGAGTACGCCCTTAAATGAAAATGTCCAAATTGTGTCCAACGTGTCAATATTTTTTGTGGCCACCATTTTTCCCCTGTGCCGGCAGCCCCAAACCGTGACATTCCCACCACCATGCTTGACTGTAGGCAAGACACATCTGTCTTTGTGCTCCTCACCTGGTTGCCACCACACATGCTTAATATCATCTCAACCAAATAAGTTCATCTTGGTCTCATCACACCACAGGACGTAATTCCAGTAGTCCATGTCTTTAGTCTGCTTGTCTTTAGCAAACTGTATGTGGGCTTTCTTGTGCCATGCAGACCCATGGTATGCAGTGTGCGGCGTACGGTCAGAGCACCGACAGGCTGGCCCCCATCACAACCTCTGCAGCAATGCTGACAGCACTCTGGACATGATGCTGAGCACGTGGACTCAACTTCTTTGGTCGACCATGGTGAGGTTTGTTCTGAGTGGAACATGTCCTGTTAAACTGCTGTATGGTCTTGGCCACCGTGCTGCAGCTCAGTTTCAGGGTGTTGGCAATATTCTTATAGCCTAGGCCATCTTTATGTAAAATAACAATTCTTTTTTTCGGATCCCCAGAGAGTTCTTTGCCATGAAGTGCCACGTTGAGCTACTAATGACCAGTATGAGAGTGATAACACGGAATTGAACACACCTGCTCCCCAGTGAGACTTTGTAACACTAACGATTCACATGACAATTAGGGAGGGAAAACTCGTGCTAATTGGGCACAATTTGGACATTTTCCCTCAGGGGTGTACTCACTTTTGTTGCCAGTGGTTCAGACATTAATGCCTGTGTGTTGGAACATCAGATTTACACTATTCTACAAGCTGTACACTGATTACTTTACATTGTATCAGAGGGTTATCCCTTGAAAAGACATAATAAAAATATTTCCAAAAAGTGAGGGGTGTACTCACTTTTGCGAGATACTGTAGAGCTCTTAATATATGCAAGGTAATAATACTGAACTGCTCACCAGTCGAGCTGACCGGCGGGCCTCCTGTTTGATGTCCTCCACCAGGAAACCGAAGATGCCTTCGTCTTCCTCTCCTCGCTGATAAACTCCACAAGATGTTAGCTGAGACAAACACATGCTTACAATATTATTAAGACACACTCTTAACAAACAGACCCTTTTAAAGCATTTTTAATCTAAGAAAATACATCATTGTCACTTTATTTGTGGGACAGAAAAATACAAACCATGAGCCCTCTTGTTCTGTGGTGACTGTGCTCCCTCCTCTAATATTTACCTCCAAATAAATTCACTTAAATCATAATGAGGTCATAGAATAAATCATTCCCTTCTTTGTTTGCTTGTTTTATTTATTTATTTTTATATTCGATTGTGACTTGCTTTGTACAAGTCTTTCAGAAAGAATATTTTTAATGCTATAACTGTTGGTCAGGCACTTGTAAAGCAAGTCTCAATAAAATATGACTGCTTGAAGGCTGAAAAATACATATTCCTGTGAAAACAGAAATACTTGCAGGCGTTGTCTTACCAAGCAGAAGTAGTGGACAGAGAGTTTATGTTCTTTGAGTGTGACTTTCTCCCCAAACATGGCTGGGTCATCATCACTGCACCTACACAAAGCACAGCCTGCAGATACACACAAAATATGCAAACCTTCATTCAACTAAAAAAGCTTTCTCAAGGCCCTAAAAGACATCATCATAAACACTCATTAAGGTTTTAACGTATGTAAGGAGAAATGTGAAGATATAGCTTTAGTTGCTGATTTTCTTTTTTTAACAGTAAGAGCACTATATCTAAAACCACAGCACCAACACAACAGAGCTGAAAAGTCAAGCCTAACACACAACACACAGTGGCTGGAATTAGCAGTCAAAAGGTGGTTTAAATACACATTTGTCAACAAAAAAAACAGCAGCAGGAGATATTGACTTCCAACTGTGTGTGAAAGTCACTCACACTCCTCCTGGACACTGTTTCTGTGTGTCTCCTGCGACCTCCTTGCCTTTTTCTTCATGTTTGTGTGAACCAACCCTGCAGGAAAATGAAAGACCACATTTACTGAGCTTTTACAAACACTGTCATCACAACATGCTCACTACATGCTCACTACACAACGCAGTGCGTTATTGAACAAATGCTTCCAACCTGATCATATTTGACTTCCCTGAAAAGAATTCCAGGTTGACGATAAACTCCTAAGCTTTCCCATTTTTACTAGTTTTTTCATAAAAATGGTTTGGAATGAATCTAGAGACATATTCTAGCCCCAAATACCTATCACTGTACGGTCATTAAACTGAAAGTGAAGCTAAAGTTCAACATAAAATTTAGAGCTCAAATTTGTTTAAGCTCTAAGAGTAAAGCCTGCACCACTTGCACATATGCAGATATTTCAAGCAAAGTCATTATGATATTACAAAAATTACATTATATAACAAGAACAATTTGACTCATCACAAAATATATTTTTTTAATTAAACAAATAAGAGTAGAAAGTTAAAAGAAAACTCCCCCTCAGCGTAAACTTTAACAATAAAATACATTTAGAATGTCTGAGGATTGAAGAGACAACACTATTTATTTTAACGTAATGTATCCTTTAGCATTCATGGTGCCTTTACGGATGTAATAGCTTAAAAAACAAACAAGCCTCCTTTCAGGTGCTTTCGTGCTCTTTCTTTGTTACCTGGGAGGACATGCCTACAGTTGCTCCTACATTTCCAAAAAATACGTCACGTTTTTATTAGTCAGGCAAAAGGACTGTTTTATCCATTTCACTTCAGCAACCATCCTGGTGTCAACTCCAGGCAATTATTTAGGCAGAAATAATGCTCTTGAATTATTTAGGCAGCCTTTCAGATTAATCTGCATTTTTCATTTTTTATTCAGCCTGTTTGAAGCTTTTTTTTTTTTAAATACATACGGTTAAAATACTAATTGAATTGAACAAGCGTATATTTTTAGCAAAAATAATATTTTCTTTTGAAAAGGGTTAGGGGTTAGGGTTAGGGTTTACAAAGAGGTCTCACTTTATTAGAAACAAGGTTGTATACCGGAAGTCACTGACGGCCTCTCATAAGGTTAATCGAGCCTGAAAGTCTTACAGTGATGTCTCGTTTTGTTTTGTTACACACACACCGAAAAAAAACAAAAACACATAATAATATCAGCTAAATAAAAATAAAAAACAACAACAATAAAAAGGTAATATTTTTGTCTGGAAAGATTCTTCTTTTGATATTTCCTTAACTACAACTAATATTAGTATTTAACTATAAAAGCATTCAAATTATTTTCTGTGGCAGCTCTAAAAGCTTCCGTTCTGCTAAGATCGACAGCTCTCCCTGTTAGACCTACAGTCGACCAAATGTTCCTAACATGATGCCTAACATTGCGCTATAGCTACTCCATTATACTCCTATCTGTAAACATTTAGTCGGAAAAATACATTAAGTGCAAGAAGGAAAATAGGAGTTTGAACACGTTCAGCTGAGACGTTGACATCAAAGAAAGGCTCGGTTTCAAACGCAACCTAAACACTAAAAAATGTTTCTCCGGTGACCTACTTTACATTCAGGGGCGAAGAGTGTTAGTTTGCGTCCATTTTCCTGTCGTTTTTTGAAGGCTTACTCCCAATGCTTTTGTTTATTTCCGACTAACACCGTCGAGTTTTTAAATTTCCCTCTTTCAAAACAAAAGAACCTTATTTCCGCTTCCGCCTCTTCTTCGTTTGCTTTAGAGGATTTTTCGCACTAGGTTCTCATTTGCCTACATGCGCGCCCCCTGATGGTTGGTGTTGATAATGCTCTCAATAATATTAAACATCTCAACAGATGGTGAAAAACGATATGTGGAGGAAATAAATCCTGATTCCATAATATATACACAAACTACATTTTTAAGGTAGGTAAAGTTTTCAGAATTTTATTAAAATGAAACTTTGGTAATCATGATACACACTTGGTATTTCAAAATTAACATGAGTTAAAGGTTATGACTTTGACACAGGATCTCATTATTTGGACTTTTGAATAATAACAATAACAACAACAATAATAATAATATGGTTCTTAGCAGGCCTTAAAATTAGGTAAATACAGCCTCAGATGAACTACAAAACATGACATAATACACAGTGTTATTATTTATTAATAAACACTAAGCAAATATGCAGAAACAGTTTGTGAAAAAGCAAGTAAGTTAATAAGATTCAGTAACTTGAGGAACCACCTCTGCCAGTAATAAGTCACTTAAAGGTTGAAGATTTTTTGTCCAATTTTAGTCAACTTTTCTTTAAAAAAATGTTACTTCAATTCATTGATGTTTACAGATATTCCTTTATGAATAGCTCTCTTAATAACTCACTACAGTATTTCAGTCTGGTTGATGTCTGGACTTTCACTGGCTGGTTGCAACACCGTGATATTTTTTTCTTTTCAGATTTGCTACTGTGCTTGGTCTAACTTTGCTACTGTATGATCCTCTGAAAGGAAAGGTGTACACCCTTTTAAACTATACAATACCAGGAGCACCCAAAAAATAAATATCTCTAAAATGACAATTTCTGTTTTGGCCCTTGGCTATTTTAACTTCCAGCAATTTAATCCTTATAGAACACATACGCTGCGGTGGTTTTTCAATAATAGTGGGTGCTACAGGACAACATCTCCCTATAACAACAGCTCTATTTTCACATTATCATTCAAAAACTGTATTTACACAGTTTATCTTTGTTTATTAACATTATTATTAATAGTAGTAATAGTAGTAGTCATTTATGATCTGAAAAATTTAAATGTGACAAATATTTTTAAAACACTAACAAATCAAGAAGTAGGCAAATATTTTTTCATGGCACTATTTAACATATATTGTTGCACCTGTCTCACTTTCTTCGCTGTCCTAAGTTACTTTCCACCACTAAAGGACAGTTTAGTGGTGGAAAGTAACTTAGTATATTTACTTGATTACTGTCCTTTGAGTTTTTTTTACTTCACAATAGTTTGATTGAAATAACCGTATGTTGGCTTTAGCTACTTATCATTATACTTCTACTAATATATGTTGCTGCGTTATTACAGATTAAGCTTAAATTCATTAGAACCATCTCCTGTTGCTTTACTAAAGGAATAGAAACATTAATGAATCAGTATTATGATCTAATCGCTACTCTCATTTATATAAGTCTGCATAATGAGCACTTTTAGTTCAAGTTAAACCTTCCGTACTATTCCATCCGTGGCTTAATTAGGCTACAGTTAGTTTTTACTTACTTTCATGTCATACATCTGTATGAGGGCCTAAAAAACTATCCATGTGTTTAATGTCTGCACCGGATTTGTTTGTGAGCAAATATTCAGTTTTGCCGCTAGATGTGGCGAAAGCACTCCCGTGCTGTTGCTGAGCCTCCCGTGGTACCCTGTCAGAACATTCTTGAAACGTCCCCGTATGTGCGTTGTGTGTGTTAGTGTGTTGGTGTGGTGTTTTGTGTGTTGTGTTGGTGTGTTAGTGTGTTAGTGTGGCTGGTCGTCACGGGGCGAAGGGCGGTGCCCCCAGGTAAGCACATCAGCACCCTCCACATCACAAACACACGCCCAGAGCAGCACACAGAGGAGGCACAGTACTGAGAGTAGCCGAGACTCCCTGGAGCCAGACACACACTTCCCTCCGCTCAGGCTAAGGACGGAGCTCACAGAGAAGGAGGCAAAAACAGCCGCAATATTTGGAAACATCGAAACAAGGAAGTTGGATACAGAACACAGCGGGAAGCATGTTCAGCTGGGTCAAACAGGAGCAGGGTGGCAGCAACAAAGAAGGAGAGATGTACCAGACCGTTACGGAGGGACTGCAGACTCTTTACACCAAGAAGCTGCTGCCGCTGGAAGAGACCTATCTCTTCCATGACTTCCACTCCCCGGCCCTAGAGCCTGCTGACTTCCAGAGTAAACCCATGGTACTGCTGGTCGGCCAGTACTCCACAGGGAAAACCACCTTCATCAGGTACTGACCAACAACTGACTAGTGTTCTTGTCTGTGAAGAGGCTGGAAGGGCCGGAAATTGTACTAGATGTAGGGGAAAAAGCCCACCTCTATTTTTGTTGCATCACTTGAATGTTATTTGTTGGGACCTCGTGTCATATCTCGTTAAAATATCACAGTTGAAGACGCGTTTGATTTCATCTCAACTCGACATATAATTGAAAGACAAACTCCGTGGGGATCCCAAATTTGTGCCGAAGTGACTTTTACTATCCTGTCTTTCTTTACTGTGAAAAATATGTGGCATGCTATTGAAAACAACACATCTTAAGGCTCAGAGTGGGAGTGAGCTGTGGCATTATGAATGACAGGAAGCACACAAGTTAAATTCACAGCCGTGACTTATGCAAACAGAGTGAGATTTCAACACTACTGTGCCTTCATCAGAGTCAGAGTGGACAAACACACAAGGAAAACACAGCCAACCCTTTGAATCTATTAGATAATGAATCGAAGTTTAAATTATTCTGTTCCACTATTTCAGAAACAGAGAAAAAAAAATGACATGACCACCTCAGTTAAGTGCGATAGGCCAAAGTAAACATAATTGCTATGTAAGTGGGGTGACATCATATCAGGAACAGAACCAAAAATACAGTCTGCTTTTAAAGGTCATCAGGGTACAAAAATAATCACCAAACAAACCAAAAACCACATATAAGCATGTGTCATGGGCAAAACCTGCAGGAAACATGACAAGTCACCTTTTCATGTGCTATGTCACTGTGTTCAAAGTGAAAAGTCAATATTTCTGTCAGTGGTGCCATGAACTGATGATGCACTGCTGCTAGGAGATGATGGCATTTTTGGATTATCCCTTACCTCTCACTGGTAAAATGAAACAAACAGCAAGAGAAAAAAAGTGTGCCTCTAAAAGATTTTAGGGAAGGGGAGAAACTAAGTCACCCTTAGAATTCAATTTCAAAATTAGATTTAGATTTTTTTTTTAAACCCTGAAACGATCTGAAATTTGATTTAAAGGTTGCAGCTGAGTAGGTAAATACAGGTAATTACACTGCCATCATGTTTATGTTTTGACACTGTGTGTGAATTCTATAACCTGCAATCATGGAATAAGGTAAAAGTTAACTGGAACAGTTCAGGATCCCTGCCAGTTTAGGTTCCTCAATATTGGACAATTGCTCAATAAATAATTTAGCTGCAAAAGAAATAATATGTAAGGGCCAGATTAAAAGTCTGTAGTTCTTTTCTTTATGGGCAAACTGACAGTAGAATTGTCCTGTTGCATAAACCTTAATAATACATTTTCAGTTTTCTGGTTAAACTTCCAGATGATTAGGTGTGAATAAAAAGGCAGCTTGGAGACCACGCGAATCTTCTTATTCTTCTTTCGGCCACTTACTTTATGGGTAGCCACAGTTGACCTGCCTCCATCTCACTCTAACCCCAGCGTCCTCTGCTGTTGCACCAGTCCTCTTTATATCCTTCTTCACTCAGGTTTTTCCCTGTAGTCTTTCTCCTTTCCTCCTGCCCATGTCCAAACCATCTCCACTTTGCCTCTAATGCCAGACTGGATTATTACTGGTGATTTTTAGTGTTGTATGTGATTAAGATGAGGCCAGTGTGACTTTAGCCTGTAGAAAAACAGAAAAATCTTTTTTTTTTTAAACATAATTAGGATTTCATTTCCTTCTCGTTGCTTGCTTTTAAACAGAACTACACTACCAGACTGTAAACTATAACAGCGCTCTCTGAGTTTACAGCTTCCTATTAGGATCCTTCCTGATTATCTAAAATGGTAAATGGTAAATGTCCTGCATTTGTATAGCGCTTTTCTAGTCCATAGGACCCCAAAGCGCTTTACACTACATTCAGTCATTCACCCATTCACACACACATTCACACACTGGCGATAGCAAGCTACATTGTAGCCACAGCTGCCCTGGGGCGCACTGATTCTAATTCAGACCTGTGACGACACATCCTGTTTTGGTGCTGATGGAGTGATTTTTATGACACTGGAAGGACTTCATGTGAAATTATGTCAATTTAAAGCCCTTCCATGTTCATGAAAAAGGCATGAACATGTATCATAGCAAATTGTAACATATCAAACAAGTGAATGCAGTCTCAGAGTAAATTCTGGTCACATAAAATCCAATCCAACTAGCAGATCTATAGTTACAGGTTTAAAAAACATTTAAAAAATGTCTTTACTAAAAGAAGACTACAGTGAGCGCAATTAATATTTATTTTCAGTTAAAGATGCAGGTCAACATTATCAGTGGAGTTTTCACTTCATACAAAGTTTTAATGGCTTTTGGAATTAAACCAAACTTCCTTCTGTGTGTCTTACCTGCTGCACCCCTGATAGCACTAGCTTAAACTAGCCATAGAGGGCCTTATGTGTGAGCTTGCTTTTAATCTTACCATGCCATTAATAAGAGTAGTTTAGTATTGAGCTGTGTGGGGACAATATTCCTTAAAAAAGCTCAGGAACCTGTTCTCTCTGTATGACCCAAGCGTTGCTGAGAATCAGAAACAGTTCTCAAAAGTAGCAGAGTCTCATTTTCCCATAATAGAAATGAATGTTGCAATTACCAAATAGATTGGCCAATTTTCCAAAGGAATTTTGCATTACTTCTTCTCTTTAGGGTTTTGACATATTTAATCTTAATGAGTTAATCACTAAGGTTGTAACAGTCTAACCACCTCTCGGATAAGCTGTTAGATTAGTTTTGCAGCCG